GTATACTAAACATCTAAAGCATCTTAAAAATCGTAAAAATAAGTACCATAAAAAGTTTAAAGCGACTAAACTACTATTTTATTATGAGCAATACCAATTATATTTAAAGAAGTTTAATGAACTCGATAAGTTACTCTATGCTAAATACGTTAATTACCAGGAAGCTATAATAAAAAAAAAATCCTAAAGCATTCTGGAGTTATATTAAATCCAAATCTTCGAAATCCAGCATTCCTGCGTCTGTTTTTTATAAGGATAAACTTGCAAGTTGTCCCGAGGAAGCAGCCAATATTTTTGCCGAGTTTTTCTCCTCAAATTTTGTCTCCGACTCAGACATTACCCATGCTAATGCCTTTATTCCTGAATGCCTACCTGCGTTTGGGTCGCTTATACTGTCGGAAGTGGACGTTGGTAGTGGTATTGATTCACTTAAAACCTCAAATCTTATGGATCCTGATGGCCTTTCAGCCATACTCTTTAAAAAATGTCCTGCATTAATCCAACCTTTGACACTGATTTTTAATATGTCTTTAGCATCGGGTAAATTTATTGATGATTGGAAAAAGGCTCAGATAACCCCGATTTTTAAAAGTGGCAACAAAAATGATGTATCTAATTATAGACCAATTTCAAAGTTAACCACAGTAGCGAAAATTTTTGAATGTGTTATTAAGGTGAAATTGTCATTCTCAGTTAGCAGCTTAATTAGTCCAAACCAACATGGTTTTATTAAAGGAAGGTCCACAGTCTCTAATCTTGCAATTTTTACGGAAGATTGTCTGTCTGCTTTTCAAGCTGGCCAGCAAGTCGACACAATATATACTGACTTTTCAAAGGCATTTGACAGAGTTTCTCACAAGGTCTTAGTGTCTAAATTATTCTCTATGGGTTTCCACTCTAATTTTTTGGAGTGGATTAAATCATATTTGTCTGACAGAAATTGCATGGTTGTGTTCGAGGATGTCTACTCACAGCCTTTTATTGCGACGTCGGGTGTTCCTCAAGGTAGTATACTTGGACCACTGTTGTTTATTTTATTTATTAATGACATAGGTTCCTGCTTCACGTCATCTAAATATCTATTATATGCGGACGATCTCAAAATTTACTCTGTCATTAAATGTATAAACGATTCCATTGCCCTTCAAGGAGAACTCGTTAAACTACACGATTGGTGCAAACGAAACCGCCTTCATCTAAATATAAATAAGTGCTCACATTGTACTTATACCAGAAAGCTAATTCCGCTCCACACGCGCTATCATATTTCTGGATCTCCTCTTAATCATGTTAATGAAGTCAAGGATCTAGGTGTCTACTTCGACACGAAACTAAATTTTTCCACGCATATCGAATATATAGTTGGCAAATCATACGCGATGCTGGCTTTCGTCCGGCGTAATAGTTCATCTTTTTACGATCCATACACTTTGAAGCTGCTTTATATTACTCTAGTAAGATCCAGGTTGGAGTATGCGTCATTCATTTGGAGACCATACCACAATTCTCATATCACGCGATTAGAACGGATACAGAAAAAATTTATAAAATTTGCTTTACGCTCACTGAATTTTAGTGAACCCATTCCCTCATATGAATCACGTTGTGCACTTCTAAATTTACAAACTCCACGTAGCAGATCTGCTTATCTTGCTTGCTCATTCGTTGCCAATCTCTTGAATGGATCGGTTGATTGCCCTAACCTCTTGGAAAGAATAACTTTCAATGTTCCTACACGTAACTTACGCAGTGTTTCTTCTTTCTATATCGTATTTTCTAAAACGAACTATGCAATGTATGCTCCCTTGATTAGAACCTTAGTGGAGCTGAACAATATTCCAACTTTTGACCCGTCTCTATCTTGTGGAGTAGTTCGTACTTTATTTTACAACTATTTTAACTAGTTTTAAGTACCTCTGAATTATAGTCAGTAAGAATTTATTGTTCAATTGACTGAAATAAATAAAAAAATAAAAAAAAATAAATAAATAAATTAAAATAAATTTTTTGTGCAAATGTAATTAAAATAAAGAGCGCGGTGATTGGTTGCAAAAACACGTACAAAAATAATAAATTGGTTACAAACATGTGCTACAAAACTGCTTGCATTTTTTCTTTATACTTCGTCTTCATATTCTTTGTTTACTTTTCAAAGAAACCAACATGGCGCCGAAATTACAAACGTCAGCCAGAAAATTTCTCTCTTCTTTTGCTTCATTTTGTCAGAACTTCTGTAGTTGGATCATGTGTACAGAGCATGAACCAACTAAACAGATCACCCAGCACGGCAACCGTGTATTTGTAATTGCATTCGAGAAAAAAATAAATAATTGATGGCGTCATTTTTTAATCGGTTGTTTCATTCACACACATGGTTTCGTTCCTTTTCATTCACATGGTGGCGAAAAAATTACGTCATTGCAAAAAAAATATACTTTTTTCTCGCACGCCGTCCTAGGTGATCTTACTCGTTCGTTCATGTGTACAGAGTACATTGCACATAAAGTCGATCGAAAAAATACATCGTTATATCGATGTATATCAGAAGGTTGAAAACATCGGTTTTATTGGATACATCGAATAGCAAACATCTGGGGTGTTCACAGTTCGTTCCAAATTATGTCTGAAAATGTAGACGTCTACATTTTGAGACATCTTTAGCATCAAACTGTGAGCACCCCTTTCTAGCAGTCGTCGCAAAATCGTCTCAAAACTTTGCTGGTGTTGCCAGACATTTCCTCTTTGCGTGCATTTTTTATATATCGCCTTTCGATTTTGTTTCTGAAAAATTGTAATTATTTAACTTAATTACCAATTCCTAATATTTGTTATTTCTTTTCCTTGATTTGTTTCTTTTCATCAGAAATTGCGCTCAAATTAAATGCAAATACAAAAAACGTGCCCAATAAAAAAAAAAAATGTGATTAGTATTGCCATAATGCAACCCTGCTGCGAGGTTGCAAAATGTAGACGCGTAAAAAACATACCTTTGAGTGTGACAAAATGTAGACGGCGTCGTTTTCCAATTTTGTATGGGAAACAACAACACCACAGATTTTACGGTTAGAAAACGTCTTAAAATGTAGACGTCTACATTTTCAGACACTATTTGGAACGAACTGTGAACACCCCAATCGATGTTTAGGATGCATCGAGGTTTTTTTTTGAATTCGTAATTAGTCATTGCACAAAAATTTTAATAATCGATTAATCGGTTAATTGATTAATCGAAAACATTCGATTAATAATTGCAATTAATCGTCAGAAATTAACCGATTAATCGTTTGTTTCGATTAAAATCGAAAATTAATAAAAACCATTTACATTAGTTATATAAATTTACTGTTTTATTTAAGGATACAATTCTTGTTAAATTGTGGAAAGGAAACAATAAATAAAAAGACGTAAAGTAGTATACCATCCGTTATACACCCCGTGTCAAAATTATAAGCACACCACAAGAATTTGTTTTGCGGTTTTTTGCAAAAATATCGTTTACAAAATTTGTAGAATACGAGAATGTGAAAAATCTCCAACTAGTAAAATTATACATATATATGTACCGAGTAGAGTGGTCCTAATATTATTGAGTAAGAATTCCAATTTTGTTACGGAATTTTGATTTATACCAGGGACCGCAAATAACGATTATCCTTTGAAATTTAAACTCAAATAATCACGCGGAAAGAGAAATGCTACGTGCATAAGGAGTAAACCAATATATTTCTTATTACTCGGAGTACCTTCAGCGGCACTGATTTTTATTTTTTAATTTTTACTTATAAAAATCAAGTTTAATCATTATATTTTGAGTTTTATTTTTTACTCAGAAAATAATCGTTATGTTTTAAGTTTTATTTTTTGCTCGGAAAATAATGGTTACGTTTTAAGTTATATTTTTTGCTCGGAAAATAATGGTTACGTTTTAAGTTTTATTTTTTGCTCGGAAAATAATCGTTACGTTTTAAGTTTTATTTTTTGCTCGGAAAATAATAGTTATGTCTTGAGTTTTATTTTTTGCTCAGAAAATAAAACTTAATTTGTGCGTATGCGCATACGCATGCGCATGCGTGAATAGACAAGGGCGGCTGCATTGAACCTTTAACGCCACTGTGGAGTGGGTAATGAAAATACAGATACCAGGGCAGAAACAAAGAGAACCACATTTCTAAAGAAAAAGTGCAAAAAAGCGCATACGCATACGCAAAAATTAAGTTTTATTTTCTGAGCAAAAAATAAAACTCAAGAAATAACTATTATTTTCCGAGCAAAAAATAAAACTTAAAACGTAACGATTATTTTCCGAGCAAAAAATAAAACTTAAAACGTAACCATTATTTTCCGAGCAAAAAATAAAACTTAAAACGTAACCCTTATTTTTCGAGCAAAAAATAAAACTTAAAACGTAACCATTATTTTCCGAGCAAAAAATAAAACTTAAAACGAAACTATTATTTTCCAAGCAAAAAATAAAACTTAAAACGTAACAATTATTTTCCGAGCAAAAAATAAAACTCAGTTAATAACGATTAAAAAGTGTTTTTTATAATAAAACTTATAACCGTTCCGGTCCCTGATTTATACATTACTGTGTTTGTAAAGTACCCTATAAGAACAGTGATAGTCATTTGATTGATCATGTGATACTCATTGGTGATGGAGATCTCAATCAAGTACTTCTATCAACTTTTTAAGAGCAATATGCAACACGTGATGTAAACATTTGTGTTCATGTGATCTTCCGTCTTCCTCCGACTTATGGCCTTATTTAGTGGTCTCTTTTTAACCAACGCAAAATTTGCAAATGGGTTAGTAAGATAAATGAGAATGTGTGTTTCCATCACACAATTCTTGTAGGGTAGTCAGTTTTTGATGATTTCTTTTCGATTATTTTCAAAATTAATCGGTTAATCGCCCGATTAATCGAAAGGAAAATTTCGATACAATTAAATCGTTAACCGAATGAAAATAACCGATTATAATCGGACATTCGGTTAATCGTGCCAGTACTATTCGTAATGTCGCGCATCGCTAGGTAAAACTTTGCCCCAAGAAAACGTAAATTGAAATTGTTTGCCGTTTGAATCCTACAGTAAAATGAGTGAGGGCATACGTCTTTACCGGATCTTCCTGTGGAAAAATTGGAGACAAATTCGATACTCGTGGATATCAATGTTTCTAATATTTTTCGGATGCACTGGAATTCTCCTTATTTATTTGTATTCAACAAACAAGATGTTGACGACACCCCAAACAACATACGATAGACGAGGCTCTGTAATAAATCTATTTATAAAAGTGTACTTTTATTAGTAACGTTGTTTATTTCCAGTATCATCTCAAGGGGGAATTTCCAACTAATGATGTTGACCGGATTTTCTATGCTCCATTCATACCTCAGACGGATTTACTTATGGAAGCTGTACGCCAAGAACTTCAGTATCCACCCGACGGTAAATTTAATATTAGCAATGGCAAGCTAACATTTATTTAATCAATCAATATATCAAAGGGATACAATTCTTTGACAATTCAACTGAAATGATTAGAGCAATGGAGCGTGGCTGCAAAGGGAATTGTTATGCTATAAATTTCCTTCATTATCCGAAGAACGTGGCACAAGAAAAACTAAAATATTCAATAAGCTCGACGACTATAAAAATATCTCCTAAGAAGCGTTATGTTAATGATGAAGAGGTTGCCGGAATTAAAGGTGAATATATATAAAAAGCGTACACTTGCCGCAAGAGTGGCATAACAAAAAAATAAAAAAAATAGTATGCACAAATGACCGCATGTTGTGTACAAAATGAGATTGGGGAAATTTTCCTTAAATTCCGTCCAAATTTGAAAGTTTTGCGATTCTAAAAGTGAAAACCCCAGAGAGCGGAGGCTTTTAAGTTTTAAAGTTGCACAATTCACCATACAAATTTCATTGATTACATGGAAGTGGTGGGAATGAACACAGACTTTGGTGCTGCCAGATGATGAGAATAGATAAAAAGTGGGGGGTTTTTGTATGCACCTTATATTGAAATACTGTTTTATATAAACAAAAAGCGATGCAGCCGAAAATAATAAACTTTTCATTATTTATCGAATTATCGATTTGGTAGTAGTGCAAGTTAGCGAAAGTAGTAGGTTAAAATGGACGGAAAAAGTTCGAGAGTGGTGTCAATCGCCACGTCTTAACGCCAATAATAACAATCCGAGACCGGAAATCAACATTTTTAATTCATGAAAGAGTTATTTGCAAAAAGCACTTGTACTTTCCGCACTATTTTTTGATGAATTTCACGCAAATGAGTGGAATAAATTAACTCAATTTAACACGTATTTTTTAGTTTTTATACATTTGTGATGTTTTAAGGGGTGGGGTTTAGTAGCGCTCACAACTATTTCGGGCTATTCCGTCCAAAGGGGTGGCCCGATCCAAAAAAAAATTCCACACACTTGTAGTCAAGGGTCTACGCATTATTTTAACGTTCACTTTTGTAAATTTTGGTCACTAATTTATTTACAAATTGGGTTTGAAATATGTCCTTTTTTGTAAAATTCGGAAATTCGCGTACATTTATCACTCCTATCCTCCTTAAAGCAACCTCTTCACCAATACATTTGTGTATTCCCCTTCACTTTACACTTCACTCGATTAGTTATAACTTGCTTTACGACTTTAATATTAACCAATTAATCACAATTCATTAAATAAAAACAACTTCAAAATCACGCGTCTGACTTTGGGTGCATATGCAAATTAAATGGTGGAGTTCAGCTGTCAAACTCCAAAATATGCAAAAGAATGAGAGACAAAAGAAGATCGGATATAACCCAGTAAGCATTAAAAATATACAAAGGTGTTCTCTGCAAAAGGTCTTCAGCTCCTTTTCTTCGCAACACAGAAAGGAGAATTCTACTGCCTGAGGGTTATAATCCCTAAGTGCGGCCGAAGGCCGCCTACGCAGAAAGGTTTTCAGCCCCCCTTCTTTGGCAACACAGAAAGGAGAATTCTACTGCCTGAGGGTTATAATCCCTAAGTGCGGCCGAAGGCCGCCTACGCAGAAAGGTTTTCAGCCCCCCTTCTTTGGCAACACAGAAAGGAGAATTCTACTGCCTGAGGGTTATAATCCCTAAGTGCGGCCGAAGGCCGCCTACGCAGAAAGGTTTTCAGCCCCCCTTCTTTGGCAACACAGAAAGGAGAATTCTACTGCCTGAGGGTTATAATCCCTAAGTGCGGCCGAAGGCCGCCTACGCAGAAAGGTTTTCAGCCCCCCTTCTTTGGCAACACAGAAAGGAGAATTCTACTGCCTGAGGGTTATAATCCCTAAGTGCGGCCGAAGGCCGCCTACGCAGAAAGGTTTTCAGCCCCCCTTCTTTGGCAACACAGAAAGGAGAATTCTACTGCCTGAGGGTTATAATCCCTAAGTGCGGCCGAAGGCCGCCTACGCAGAAAGGTTTTCAGCCCCCCTTCTTTGGCAACACAGAAAGGAGAATTCTACTGCCTGAGGGTTATAATCCCTAAGTGCGGCCGAAGGCCGCCTACGCAGAAAGGAATTCTACGCAAAAATACATTTGTTAAAAACGAACATTTTTTTTTATAAAAACTTGTTTTTTCTAATTTTAATTAACTTTTTTATTCTATATTCAAATTCACCCGATATCTAATTTGGCATAATTTCTTTTATTAAAAAATCCCACGGTTTCTGTTAGTTGGGTCATATTCCACTTCAAAGTGCTCAGTTTGCCTAAGAAATTCCCTTTTTCCCCCTTTTTCGAACGGTTCCCTAGGGGACTGTGGGAGGAGCCCAAGGGGGAAGTACGCCTTTTTAGAAAGCGGGGACTGTCCCCTTTCCAGTGGGGGCGTTTAGGGCGCCCGCCTTCTCCCCCTCCGCCACCCACCCCAAAAACGATGTGAGCGCTACTAAACATTTCCCCTACTGCCTGACGGTTATAATCCCTAAGTGCGGCCAAAGGCCGCCTACGCAGAAAGGTGTTCTNAAAGGAATTCTATGCAAAAATACATTTGTTAAAAAGAACATTTTTTTTTTATAAAAACTTGTTTTTTCTATTTTTAATTAACTTTTTTATTCTTTATTCAAAATCGCCCGATATCTAATTTGGCATAATTTGTTTTATTAAATAATCCCACGTTTTTTGTTAGTTGGGTCATATTCCACTTCAAACTGCTCAGTTTGCCTAAGAAAATTTTGTTTTTTCCCCTTTTTCAAACGGTTCCCTAGGGGCCTGTGGGAGGAGCCCAAGGGGGAATACGCCTTTTTAGAATGCGGGGACTGTCCCCTTTCTAGTGGGAGGGTTTGGGGCTCAAATAATGCACAAGAAATATACATTTGTGAAAAGGGGATTTCCGTTCCTTCGCACGCAGAAAGGAGAATTCTACGCAGAAAGGTGTTCTCTGCAAAAGTGTTCTGCCCCTTCTCTTTGGCAACACAGAGAGGAGAATTCTACGTTGTGAGGGTTATAATCCCTAAGCGCGGCCGAAGGCCACCTACGCAGGAAGGTGCTCTCTGCAAAAGGTGTTCTGCCCCTTTTCTTTTGCAACACAGAAAGGAGAATTATACGTTGTGAGGGTTATAATCCCTAAGCGCGGCCGAAGGCCACCTACGCAGGAAGGTGCTCTCTGCAAAAGGTGTTCTGCCCCTTTTCTTTTGCAACACAGAAAGGAGAATTATACGTTGTGAGGGTTATAATCCCTAAGCGCGGCCGAAGGCCGCCTACGTAAAAAGGAGTTGGATGCACAAACACTTTTTTAATAGAGTGGCAGCAGCAATTTAGTTCCATTTTATTTTTAATAGAGTGGCAACACTAGTTTTCCTCCATTTTATTTATATTAACTACGCAATTTTGTTGTGCGGATTTTTACCATCGGAATATTAGTTGTGTTTTCGTATTCTCCAGCAAAAATATCAAGTAACTTGCCAGTAACCAAATTCCGGAGAGTAAGCCAATATTTACTCCCATTGAGTGGAATATCCAAGAAAGTACGAAAACGCAAAACAAGCAAGAAGTTCCTAGTTTTATGAACAGCTGATTAATTTGTTATTTTCCGATGCAATTTTCTTAGAAAACTGGTATTTTCCATTTTTATTATATATTTAAATAGGTTTATTTTGTCAATTGCAACTCTAAAAGCATCGCAAACAATTATTTTGGTAGTGTGAATTACATTAAGCATCATGCCATCAGCTGTTTTTCTTACTAGCAAATAGTTGCTAGTAAAAATTTATCCAGTAAAAATCCAGTAAAACTTGCAAGTTCAGCTGTCATTTTTGCTCTCTCAATTTCCCCACTTTTGCTAGTTTCTTGCAAGTTTTTGCGTACGAAAACGACATCCAGTAAAAAACCAGTAAAATTAGTACTGGATTTATTGGATAGTGCGTACGCGAACAGGGCTATTGCTATTAAATACAGAATTTCGTTAAAGTGTGCACTTAAAACATCACAAATGTATAAAAACTAATGAATATGTGTTCAGTTGAGTTCATTTACTCCATTTATTTGCGTCAAATTCATCAAAACATAGTGCGATAAGTGTAAGTTTTTTCTGGCGAAAATCGCGCGATTTTTTATAAAAAATTGCATTATTAATCGCACTATTGATTTTTTTTTCGAAAAAAGCGCCGCAGGTGAAAATTTGTAATAAAAAATCGCGCGACTTTTTATAAAAATTTTGCATTATGGTTTTGGTAAAAAAAGCGCCGCAGGGGAAAATTTTTAAATAAAAAAGCACACGATTTTTTATAAAAAATTTGCATTACTTATCGAAGTATTGATGTTTTTTAAAAAAGCGCCGCAGGTGAATCCGCACTAAGGGATTATAACCCTCACTAAGTAGAATTCTCCTTTCTGTTTTGGGAAGAAAAGGGGCTGAACACCTTTTGCAGAGAACACCTTTCTGCGTAGGCGGCCTTCGGCCGCACTTAGGGATTATAACCCTCACTAAGTAGAATTCTCCTTTCTGTTTTGCGAAGAAAAGGGCCTGAACACCTTTTGCAGAGAACACTTTTCTGCGTAGGCGGCCTTCTGCCCCGCTTGGGGATTATAACCCTCACAAAGTAGAATTCTCTTTCTGTTTTGCGAAGAAAAATGGCTGAAGACCTTTTGCAGAGAACACCTTTCTGCGTAGACGAATCCAAAAGGTCCACACCGCCCATGTATTTATTGTATTCATGAACAATATTTGGACATTGAATGCTTTCCATGATCTTTTTCTTTTTATTATATCGCTCAACGTTTGGTGCCTTCTCGGGCGTTTGGCAATCGCTCGAAAGATATGGGTTCACTCCAGAATGGTCGATGCCATATTTACAACCTTATTATCATTCCATGCCACTGTTGTGACATCGATTCCATGGAACGTTCCAACATACTCTTCGTAGTCACCTCGATTGGCAAATTTCTGCGGTAATTTGCATAACGGAAGTCGTGGGCGGCGAACAGTTCCAAGCGAATAGATCCCTTGTGTTCGCAAATAAACCATCAACGGAATCGATGTATAATAATTGTCGAAATATATGGTATGATTTACGAATCGAGGAACCGAGCGAGCCAATCGTACAACAATATTTGCAGATGCACCCAAATTGGGTTCGTTTTCCTCACGGTGGTCGTCGTCACCGGAATAAATCTCAAATGCATAGCAAAATCCAGAATCATCGCACAAAAGAAACAATTTATCACCCCACGGGTGCGGTT